ACGGAGAGGGTGGGTTGTCCCTGAGGCCTAGGAACTGTAACTTGCCTATAGCGTCCCCTGCCGGCCTCTAGCCTGATGCCCAGGATTGTGCACCTGAGTGCCTGGTGTGCTGGGGGCTGGGCCGTGGTCACGCTGATGGGGGTGTAGGCTGGGTAGGGCCTCCATGGCAATTTCATAGGTCCACCAGTTTTTTTCTAACTTCACCAGGGTCCTTTCTGTGGACAAGTAAGTCCGGCTGTTTGAACTTTCAACCATGTGAATTGTGACTGAAGAATCAACACTGATTTAACACTTGCAGTGGAAAACAAGGACTTTGTATTAAGCATCAGGGCTTCTTCTTGTAGACAGTGAGATCCTTTGCTTCCGGCAGGTGGCAGGGATTTGACACAATCATTACATTAAGTGGCTCTTTAGGCTATCCGATTGCTTGGTGTCTGGCTGCATATGTCATTGCCAGGATATTTTGTAGTATTAAAATGCTAACATTGAAGTTGTTCTTGGCAAACATCTGTCAGCTCTGCCATCAGTTTTATGGGGTTCTGGACTTCCAACCTAGGCTGTCTCTGTTTGTCCACATTCTTTCACTTCCTCATCTCTTCCTGCTGAGAGGGGAATGCTCTGTAGAAAGAACTCCCTCCATCGCTTCCTTTTCTTGTAGGAAAAAGTGAGTGTGAAGAATTTTTGAGAAAAACTTGTGGGTCTACACCTATATAGTGAGAGCATTTCCCATTTGTTTTTATTTGTCTCACTGAATCAAAAGGAAACTTGGATTTGTCATTTTAGAGACCACATGATCAACTCGAAAGGTTGGAAACTCAGTCTCAGCTGAGATGGGCTCCAGGAAGACTCACCGGCCGCATGAGTGCTGGATGAACCCAGATGGGGAGACCCGAGGGAATGAAGGCTGAGAGGTGGAAGGGAGGGAAGAGCGGGTTCATGCTCGTCCGGTGTCCGGCCACGGGTGGTTCCCACTTGTGCTGCTTTTCAAAGTGGTCCATCGGGGACTCAGAGTTGCTGGTGGAGGCACCAGCCTGGCCTCCTAGGAATGTGGACAGAGCCATGGGTGCCCAGAGGTGGGCTCTGGGCCATGAAGATGAGGGATAGGATGAGAGCATTGTACCTTGAATGGATGAGGAAGCCGTCTTAGGAAGTGACTTCTGGAAGGAATCCTTCGTACACTTTATCAGAGCCTTCCTGCTCTGTCATAACTGGCCTTTTCCTCCTCCACAGCTATGCCTTCCCCAACATGGTACAACTTTATGTAACAGATGTTCTCACATCACGTTGGGAAAACATAGAAAAAATGGTCAGAGCCCATCTGATATTCAGAACCTTGCCAAGCATTTGATGTAATTGGGCACTTGTGCTCAGGTGTTCCTTGTTAATCATCTAGTGCAAGTGCGCATGTGCACCCAGGTGTCCTGGGTTGTGGACTTAAGAATAAAGATGAGTGGCTCTGATCCACGGCGATTCCCATCGTCAGAATATCGGGGGAAGGGGGGGCTTGGGGGAGGCCACTACTGCTGCTGGAGGCTGCTGCTGCTGCTAATGCCCCCCGGACCCTCTGCAAGGCCACCGCCACCGCCGGTACTGTAAGATGCTTCCAGTGAGGAAGCTGAGGTCTGAGCTTGTGTTGTCTGCCAACAGCTCCCAGAATCTTTCCCAATTACCTAGCATTTACCTGCATGGGAAGGGTCTGGGGACCCAGCTTGGTATGTGAGGGGTCTGGTGATCCAGTCGGTACAATGGGTTTGAAGGGTTGGAGCCCTACCTCTGACAGTGTGAATGGAAACTTAGTATAACTAAAGTAATATCTAAAATAACTTCAACATTTTGGCTTCAGTTATGAATTGCCTTACTTTAAACATCACAACTTGGGAAGATGAGTGTCACATAGGAAAGCAGACATTTCTGTGCACAGTGACCCCAGTAGTTACCTGGGGAGGTCACACCTCTTTCTCTTGCTGACCCTCTGACGGCAAAGTGAGGGTGGGTGTGTCCCAGGCTGCAGGGTCCCTGGACATCAGTCCCGGAAGCTCTGCTTTCGGAGGCTGGGGGTGGCTGCTGTGTTGTCTTATGAGCCAGAGCAGGCAGTCTCTTACTCTCAAGACTCAAGTTTAAGCTTTCCCCCCCCCTCATCTCAAAGGGTGATGTGTGTCAGTCCATCTCTGCTTATAGCAGAAACACCTGAAAGTGAGGAATGTGTAAGGATGTTTCATTTCTTATGGTTTTGAAGGCTGGGAAGTCCAAAGATGAGTGGAGACATCGAATGAGGTCCCTGTCCTTGGTGGTGGCTCTACAACAATGCAGGGTGTTACACGGTGAGGATCACTGAGGGAGTGAGTAAACCTCCTCACGTGCTCCTCTTAAAGCCAACAGAACCACACCCACTGCTGTGTGAATGGGTCGATCCATTTACTAACACAGTCCTCACAATCGAATCATGTCTTAAAGGGCCCCAATTTGTAGTAACCTTGATAGGAGGTTCTACCCTCTTGGCTCAAACATGACTATGATGATGTTTCTAATATGTGAAACTTTGGGGTCTTTTTCAACCCCTATCAGTCTGTGTCCCTTTCCAGGGACATGGGTTGAATTATAAAGGCAGAGGTCGCATTGTCACCGTGTGCACATTATCTTCCTAGGGTGGGGGATGGACTTCAGAATGCACATCACGTTGGGAAAACATAGAAAAAATGGTCAGAGCCCATCTGATATTCAGAACCTTGCCAAGCATTTGATGTAATTGGGCACTTGTGCTCAGGTGTTCCTTGTTAATCATCTAGTGCAAGTGCGCATGTGCACCCAGGTGTCCTGGGTTGTGGACTTAAGAATAAAGATGAGTGGCTCTGATCCACGGCGATTCCCATCGTCAGAATATCGGGGGAAGGGGGGGCTTGGGGGAGGCCACTACTGCTGCTGGAGGCTGCTGCTGCTGCTAATGCCCCCGGACCCTCTGCAAGGCCACCGCCACCGCCGGTACTGTAAGATGCTTCCAGTGAGGAAGCTGAGCTCTGAGCTTGTGTTGTCTGCCAACAGCTCCCAGAATCTTTCCCAATTACCTAGCATTTACCTGCATGGGAAGGGTCTGGGGACCCAGCTTGGTATGTGAGGGGTCTGGTGATCCAGTCGGTACAATGGGTTTGAAGGGTTGGAGCCCTAGCTCTGACAATGTGAATGGAAACTTAGTATAACTAAAGTAATAACTAAAATAACTTCAACATTTTGGCTTCAGTTATGAATTGCCTTACTTTAAACATCACAACTTGGGAAGATGAGTGTCACATAGGAAAGCAGACATTTCTGTGCACAGTGACCCCAGTAGTTACCTGGGGAGGTCACACCTCTTTCTCTTGCTGACCCTCTGACGGCAAAGTGAGGGTGGGTGTGTCCCAGGCTGCAGGGTCCCTGGACATCAGTCCCGGAAGCTCTGCTTTCGGAGGCTGGGGGTGGCTGCTGTGTTGTCTTATGAGCCAGAGCAGGCAGTCTCTTACTCTCAAGACTCAAGTTTAAGCCTTTCCCCCCTCATCTCAAAGGGTGATGTGTGTCAGTCCATCTCTGCTTATAGCAGAAACACCTGAAAGTGAGGAATGTGTAAGGATGTTTCATTTCTTATGGTTTTGAAGGCTGGGAAGTCCAAAGATGAGTGGAGACATCGAATGAGGTCCCTGTCCTTGGTGGTGGCTCTACAACAATGCAGGGTGTTACACGGTGAGGATCACTGAGGGAGTGAGTAAACCTCCTCACGTGCTCCTCTTAAAGCCAACAGAACCACACCCACTGCTGTGTGAATGGGTCGATCCATTTACTAACACAGTCCTCACAATCGAATCATGTCTTAAAGGGCCCCAATTTGTAGTAACCTTGATAGGAGGTTCTACCCTCTTGGCTCAAACATGACTATGATGGTGTTTCCAATATGTGAAACTTTGGGGTCTTTTTCAACCCCTATCAGTCTGTGTCCCTTTCCAGGGACATGGGTTGAATTATAAAGGCAGAGGTCGCATTGTCACCGTGTGCACATTATCTTCCTAGGGTGGGGGATGGACTTCAGAATGCTAAGGCTCCCCTGGGTTACTCATCCCTATGTTTGCTGTTGTCGTGCCTCAAGGCCACTAAGTGGTGACAAAGGACACCCCTCAGTCAACTTCAGGGATGGGACAAATATCACTGACTCTCTGGGGACTCTTTCTGTGATGAAGGAAGAATTTTACCTTTATTTGCATGATTGGTTAACCTGGATCTCCTAATCACAGCGTTTCCTCCCAGGGTGCTGACACCTGCACCCAGTAGCAATAGAAACATCTCTGGGGACTATCTGAAGGATGGATTTTGATGACTACAGTGGGAAGTCTCTTTCTGATGACCTCAGTTTTTGTTTTTCTCCTTTCACAGGGATCTTTATCCTGTGTTAAGTAACATACCCACTGCCAAGCTTGCATATCTTTTGAAATAGGTGGTTCATGCCTGGTGTTCCGATCACCGATGTTCAGAGAGCCTGGCATCTGCTGGGCTCAGGAGCCTAGGCACCTAATGCGCAGGAATCCCTGTGCTCCCAGGTCAGGGACTTGGCACTAGGCAAGTGAACTGGTTTCTTTCCATGAGAACATCTCATGTTACAGTCACATAACCTCTGGCACAACACATTTTTATCATTAATGAGAAACTTTACTTTTGCCTAAATGTTTTTATTTGAATCAAATTACTGCACTAAGCAAAAGCTCGTTTTCCCTACTCCAAATTAATACAGAGCCCAATAGGGGGAGAATTCACTGTGCAGGACAGTTCTAGTATGGGAACATGATCCTGCTCATCGAGGTGTGACTCTCCTCGGAAGCAGTTGCTCTTAACAACAGATTGACCCCAACTACCAGAGCCCCACAACAGGAAGTGGTCTTAAGTTCGTGTGTGGGGCGGTGTGTTCTATAAAAGACAAAAGGCAGGGGAAGCACAAACACAACCCACTCTTTGAACCAAATGAAATGTCTAGGTAGAAAGTTCTAATGCCCCTTTCTGCCGTGATATAAAGAAGCGCTGGAATCTGGCACCCGGACTGGGTTTTCATCCTGAGCCTTTACAAACTCTGCCCCCCTGGGATTCGCATCCTCAGGTTTCTGGCTGATAGTCCGTTGACTTGGAAGAGATGTGCGTCTCTTCCTTCCTCCTCCTCTTGCTTTCGTGCTCACGTTCCCTGGGGCGGCTGCTCTCTGAGGGTCTCTTAGAGGCCCCGTGCTGTTTGGCTTCTTCCAAAAAGTTGTCCAAACCAAAAGGGTCTTCCTCAAACTGAACTGGTCCTTCTCGGCCTCTTCGCCTTCAGTCTGAAGCAGAAACCTCCTGGTGGGGAAGAAATCTGTTGGTCTTTATTCTGCCTTCTAGGTCATCAGCACACACGTCGAGAGTTCCTTTTTCTCCGCAACCACGCCAGCATTTATCTTTCAGCGTCTTTTGGATTTTGTGACATTAAATCAGCACCTATGGGAGCAGCCATGATCTCCCTAATTACATCATATGCTTTAGCAGGTGCCATAAAGGATCTGTTTAAGTTAAACAGTGGATAATGAGGTTATGTATTAAATTTCCACCCACCAAAAAACTAAGTGCGAAATCACCTTCTATGACTCTTGAGCTCCACCACGTCAAAGCTTTGGTATATACTGGAGGCTGTTTTGGGGATAACCAAAGCTCAAGAAGATTCTCTTCTCAGGGATTTGCCCCCCAAACAAAACCACCTGGTCCACAAAGCTTAACAAGTATATAAATAAAGTAACTGTACAAAGAGAACAAGTCACAATTACCCTTTAACCAGGGGTTCGTAGTTTCCTAGGGAGCAGTTGTGAAAGCAACTGAAGCCACGGTGCTTCTTCTAATACACAGTGTGTCATGATTGAGACTGTAATGAAACAAATGTCCACAGGCTTGTGGTTGGTGTGCCACAGAAAAAAAGTTCTATAAAAAAGAAGTCAGTGTTCTTAAACCCTCACGTAACTGGGTCAGCAACAGAGGAAAGACTCAAGGCAGCAAGAGTCATTACAGACAGCACCACAATGCCCTTTGGGTCGATCCCAAAGCTTTCTAAGAAGCAAAAGGTGTCAGGCAGTTTGGTTGGTTCCTTAGTTTTCCAGCTGTCGGACACTTACTGCTCCTCGCAGACGTCCTCCTCTTTTCTGTCCACCTCAGAAGTGTCTGATGACTCTAGGAGTAAGACATAGTCCCGGCTACTGAACCCAAATCTAAGTATGTCCTTTTCTTTCAGCTCATAGGACCTCTGTGGCTCAATACATTTGTTTTTCAAGAATGTTCCATCACCTCAGCCGAGGTCAGTAATGTGGGGCTTCACCCCTGGCCAGCTGTGCCATCAGTGTGTGTGTAAGGCACAAGCCGACATTGGAAGTCCGCGTGCTGCCTTGAGCAGGAGGGATGGTCAAGTGGAATTTCTGCAATGCGGCGATGTTGACCCAGCAGGTAGGCACTTTGTCAATGGATGCACATGACAGTAAGTACCTCATCATTTTTAAAGGGGTAGAGCACACCTTGCTACCTGTTTCTGGACATTTAGTAAAATGCTGTTCGGGGAGTAATTGCTGCCACAAGGCAAATGGGACCACATTTGGCTGCCAGTCAATTCTCTTGCTGTCAACCCCTGCTGCAAGCAAGGCAAGTCACATCTGCTTACAGCTAGTCTTGCTTGGTCCCCTCAGGATAAGATCCTGAGCATTTCATAGGGGGATGGGTCTTAGCCACCTTCTGGAACATTTCTGCTTGTCTTTTCTCCTCTACTTCACCCAGGCTGGCTATGATGGTTATTACCTCATGTATAGGATGACCAATGTATGGGGCCAGTATGGCCATCAGTGGCCCAAAAGATGTTGATAGAGTATTTTGTAGCACTATGTCTCTCATGCTGCCTGTAAAGTTTTCATTGTCTGGGCCGTGGGTGTTCTCATTAAACATGGATAGCCACATCCCCAGCTCTCGAAGTATTTGAACCAAGTCAGTATATGTTTGCCATTTACTCACAGGTTGGGGCAGTTCTCCCGCATTTGCCCACATGGCTCGGGCAGCTGTGCTCACCCATTCCATTAAGGAGTGATTACCTGACCCTTGTGCATATCTGTGGCTATTCTGTAGCCGCTGCCTCAGGGACAGGTGCATGGTGATGGAGGCCAATTTTTCCATCTCCTCCCCAGATCATATCACACTATCCACCCCTAGGTCCCATAACTGCGGCAGCCAAGCAGCTAGGGGCTCCCCCTGTTTCTGCTGCAACTGTCTCCCTAAATCAACTCCTTCGGCCTGGGTATATGGGACATAGGTAGTGAATTCAGTAACCTGTGGATCACCTGCCAGCTGCCCATCTGGTCCTATAAGCTGCTCGTGTTTCAGTTTCTGGTGCACAACAGGTCATGCCTGGAGATGCAAAATCGCTTCCAACTCACCACTGGGTTTGTCGTTCTTCCAGGTGTGAGAGGCAGGGGTGCCCAGTCGCAGCACGTCATCCTCCAGAAAGGTTTTCTGTGCTTCCACCAGCTCTGCTTTCTTCTTTAAATCTCGATTAGTTTGTATCATAGTGAGCAGTAGCCAGGCTCCGGTAAGCAGAAAAGTGGCCCCCAGGCACCATGTACTCAAGGGTAGCCATATTTCCTCCCCCACTCAAGGGGCTCTTCGAGGCTGCACTGCTTCAAGGAGTGCCTGGTCTATGCTGACTTGTAGCATAGCAAGCAGCAACCAGATTCCAGTCACCAGGAAAGTGGCCAGAGGGCACAACATATTCAGGAGTGGCCACATTTCCTCCCTCTGCAAGGGGCTTTTGGCTCCTGTACCTGCTCAGATATCCCGTTGACTACACCACTTGTAAAGCTAGGGCTTACAGACCCCTCCAGTTGGTTGCACAGATTGGGTTACAAACCCTCCACACACAGGTTTGTAAGCTAGGTGATAGGGAAAAAAGGTTCTGCGAGCCGTAGGTATAGAAAAATGAATGGGTTTTATTCAGCTCTATGAGCAACTATCCTAGTGGCTTCTCTGTGAGTTCTGAGAAGCACTGTGGATCAGAGCTGTTAGTCTTTTATACTTAAGTCCACAACCCTGGACACCTGGATGCCCATACACAACTTACATTAAGTAGTAACAAGGAACACGTGGGGATATTTACAGCAAGTGCTCGGCAAGGTTCTGAACATCTGAGGGGACCCGACTGTTTCCTATTTTTCCCAACAACACCAATCTGTACTTTCTTATAATGCTTTGATTTAAAATGTATTGTCCTGACCATCCTATTCCCCATCCTAATTTAACCACTAATTTTACCAGGGAGCTGCCAGACATGTCTAAAACTGTGGCCCAGTGGTAGGTTTGGAGGTAGAGACTTCTGGCCTTGGTATCTCACAGATGGACCCCACAAGAGTCTGTGAGGAGTCACTGTGTGGCTGAGCTGACCTGAAAATTGTCCAGGTGCCACCTATCACCCCCAGGGGCCCAAATATGTCAGTTGGACCCAGTGCCTGTGTTGCTGGTTGGCTGTGCTGCCCACTGGCTCACAGAGGGCAACTTTGATATTTGCCTTAAGACCGTGGGGTCCTGGCTTTGCCTTATGTCTAGTTTTCGACCACCTTATTGATACCCTGTTATAGTAATCAGTGACCCTGAACAGGTATTTGGGTTTTCCCTGTGGAATATACTATAAAGCAAATGTACTTCACAGGGCCTGGTTTTCCAAAACCATGCAGTTTCAAATATTGACCTTGTGGAAGACTGGAAATTTTCCTCAGGCTATAATCTCTGGTGTAAGATAAAGATTTGTGGCACAGCAAGGTTGCTGGCTCATCGTAAGATCAAGCTTTTGTTGATAGGACCACTTAATTGCCTTATTGGAATGTCATCTGGCTTGTTTCACTGAAAGTTACCAGGCTATATTGTTAAACTATAACCCCACCTATGTTCTCTTCCTGTAACTTCCTGGTCTGGGAAATAAATGCAGGAAGAGAACCTCAATTCGGGCTTAATTTACCAAAGAAGGGATGCCTCTCGCTTGAGGGTTCCAGGGAAGTTAACCACTTTGGGGCTTCTCACTGCTCAGGAGAGATGGGCTTTGAGTAATCCTTTGTGGCTCCATCACCCAGGGGAAGTTGGGTGACAAATCCATCGGGGGCAAAGCAACAAAATGGTGCCCCATGTGAGGACGTTCTCCATGGATCAGAGACTGACCTGGCAAGCATTGCAGAGGAAAAGGATGTCTGATTCATCCTGGCAAGGGAGTCCCTAATAAGGAAGATGCATCCCGGTAAGAGAATCACATGTGGTGTTCAATTAGTGATTGCACGCCTGCAGCACGTCAAAGTTAGGTCTTTTCAACTCCGGAGATATTTTTTTCCTTCTCTTTACTTTTAAAATATGGATAATTCATTAATGAAAAGGGAGACTGAACATACATTACAACTCCAATATCTCCTTAAAGCAGCAGGCTGTAAGTAACTGAATGGCAGCTTGTAAAACTGTTAGTGGATATTAAAAAATCATGTCCTTCATACCCCAAGGAAGGGAACCTTAACATAAAAATTTCGGAAAAAATTGGTCACTGGTTAATTATGCAATGGGTCACGTTAAGGCTTCCCACCTAACAACTAGGAATCTTTGTCAAGTCCAAGACCTTAACAAAAAACTAAGACATGTTTATGTCACCAAAAAAGGATAAAACTTAATCTTTGCCAGTGACTGAGAAAACTTTAAATTGGACAATCTAAAGTAAAAGAAGTTAACATTTCTTTACAGTGTTGGTATTGTTTGAGCATGCTTTTCTTATCTGCACGATGCTTCTCTCATCTCTTAAAAGCAGTGGTTCTTTTCTTAACTGCAAGTGCTACTCTTTTTCTCTAACGACCCTGGGGTTTTATGAAGAATAGCAGCTGTGGCGCCAAAAAGACCCCTTTTGGGTCTACTGCTGTTCTCCTAAAAACCTCGAGTCGAATGGTTTCATCTCTGATTGGTGGCCCTGATCTTGAACTCAGTAAGCCGTTTGAGAAAGAAAAGCTAGACTAAGATCTACCTGTTTAATTAGATGGTTCAAATGAACATTTGAACTGACATCCACCCGGTTATCTTACACAGACTTCTAAATTCTCTTCTAGTCTCATCTATGTATTTCTTCACAAAATCCTATGGTAGAATCTATGCTATTTTCTTAAAAGGAAAAAAATCTTCTCTGCATCTTCTTGAGAAGGCTTGCATACTTTGCTTTACAATGTAAATTTTTCTATTGCTGTCTTTTAGGCAAGGTGAGGCCTCACCAATAAGTCTTTTGGAAATAACACAATCTAAACCTGACTGTCCTTTCACTAGTGAGCTTTTTTTTTT